AAATAACAGCTGCGGTGACAGAATCGGCGAAATTGAATGAACATAAAATGAATTTGTGTGGCCAACTTACGAAAGTGACCGAGAAATCCTATATATGGCAATGTGAACCACGATTAGCTACCCCAATAAAAAAATTTAGATCTTGAATACTTAAAGCTAAAGACCAGTTATGGTCATGCGATTGCATTGTGAAAGAAACATTGTGAAATTGATCAGAAAAGGTTGATCATCTAGCATAGATGTACTGCAAGGTTCTGGAATCATCAAAATGATAAGAAGTTTGGCCAAGTCTTCATAAAGTTGGAATCACTGTACACAGAAAGATGTATATGGGACTACACACACGTGCGCGACACTTGCATTTGTATCTCTCAACAGGCAAGAGATACACTAATTTACCAAATATATCAATTAGTAGGCGGTTTCCCGTCAACATTTTTATCATCATGTATTATTCAAAACATATTCTTTCACATGATTGGTAATAAGAGCTTGCATTTCATTTTTTGAAATTGGGGCTTTTCCAATACTGGTCTTTACCTTTAAGCATTTTATTTTAAATGAGATTACTTATTTTGGTTCGCTCCTAGCTAAGCAGTAAAGACGCAATTAGATTCAGATGATATTGTATATTCTATTGAGTTATCACCTCTTTAATGAATGTGCATATCCTGGCCATGAACTGGATAAGGTCTCTGTCCGGTCATGCACAGAGAGTCATGCCAAAACAACTTCTTTTCTCTTTCTGGTTATTTTTGTCTTGCTGCAGTTGATTTTTATTTTGTTCATTTTTGTGTTGGGAATAGAAACATACTAAAATTTGGTAAATGTTGAGGACTGCAAGACAAAAATCTATATTTTCACCTCTCGATTACTAAGCCAGAGATACCATGGATTGGGGTCTTTTCAAAAATGTGTTTTTGACCAAATAAAATGTTATTTAATAGGCTTTATCTCCTGTATTACAATAATTTGCATCAGGTGAACCCTCCTTGTAAACTGTTAAATTCAAGATAGTATGTTTATTGTGAAGTTTGATAATTTATATTGAATATCTTGGACCATGAAACAATACAATTTATTAAAAACAAGCTTAAACCTAGGTATGGGCTTAAATTTTTAGTTGAAAACAGACCGATGCCAATATGATTTGTCTGTTAGGGAAGGCTCCGGGCTTGTTTGACCAATCAATTACTTCACCATGTGTCTAGCCAAATGTCATTCAGTCCGAGCATTGACCCGCCTAATCTGATTGTAGAACTGACATTTGGGAGCTGATGGAGGCAATGTCTTCATGCAAGGTTACTGGTGGGTTGAGGAAGATAAAGGAGGACCCTCTGTTGGTTCTGTTTGTAGTCAGTATGCAGGAGGGAAGGGGATCGTTGGGCATAGTCCCAAGACACCCCCTTGCTTTTTTATGTTTTTTTTAATTTGTGTCAGTTTGTTGTTTCTTTTTAAAAGGACCCATTTTTAATATCCTTTTTTTACCTTTTTGGGGGTTGTTTTTACTTGCAAGAATTATGTGGGAATTGGACCCCCCCCCCCACCCTTTACACATTCCTGAACAGCTCCTCGAATGGAAGCTATTTTCAGTTATGTCAATGAAATATAGTGGAACATTAAGTTGCATCTAATGTGCAAAAGGCATTGATATTATTGATGTAAGTGCATTGAAACAAATCTAACATAGCTTGATGATGATACTGGTACTATTTTGACATCCTCTTGATAATGGATCTTACCGATAAAACTGTGAAATTTGATGAATATGAGCTTTGGAAGATGATTTCATATCTTTACTCTTTCTGATACCAAATGTTTTTTAACCGTACTTGACCCATTGATTACAAAACATGAAAAGTCTTTCAATAATATCCCATAGTGTTACATATATAATTGAATGCAACTCTCAGCCTTCAGCACTGAGGACAATTATTTCCATGATTTTTTTATGCCAACAAAGGATTTTGAAAACAATTCAAACATATCTGTTGATCACAAGAGCAATCCCAGACATTGTGTTATATATTTTTTGCTACTGCTCACATGTTCAAATGCTAGCAGATAATTGTATTAGCTTTTACAGAGTTCTTGACCACTAACATACCCACTGGTTTTACGAGCTTGGCAAAAGGGCACGGTTACAACAGAGATATTTTGACGATAGTACGACTCCGGTTCAAGCCCTAATGTAATTAATCAGACAGAATGATTGTTGAAAGCTAATTAATGCAGGTACCCATCAAAGGTTGAAGGGTCAATATTTGTGCTGAAAGGCGGTACTTTAAATGCAATTAGTTAAGAAGAAGAGACACGAGATTGGTAAGCTGGGACTGAGGGTAGTGTGGGTGCAGGATTTGGAATAGGATTAAAGGGTTATCTCCCTGAGATGTGGAAGTATATATATATATATTTTTTTTGGGGGGGGGGAATTATTATAAATAATGGTTGATGGGCCAACGTTTTTGCCAGAAGGTGGCGATTTAAAGGCAGTTTTTTTCAAAGAAGAGACATAAGATTGGTGCGATGGGACTAAGGATAGTGGATGCAGGATTCGGAAAAGGATTAAGCAGTTATCCGCTTAAGATGTGGAAGAAGAGTCTTTTTGGGAGGTGGCTTGATTTATGGTGATAGGAGGTTCAATATTTGTACTGAAGGCATTGTTTTAAAGAAAAAAAAGACACAAGATTTTTAAGATGGGGCTGAGGGTAATGTGGGTGTAGGATTTGAAATAGGATGAAAAGGTTATCTCCCTGAGATGTGGATTTTTTTTGGGGGGGGGGGGTGATGTTTTAGTAGTGACTGGATGGTCAGCATTTGTGCTGAAAGGCAGTGATTTGAAGATAATTAGTTGGAAATAAATGGAAAAAAGAAAAAAAAAAAAAGGTTTTTAATGAGGAGGGGGAAGGGGTGGCTTGTCATCATGATGATGTGACATGTGCTGTAGCAAAAAATTGTCTTGGTTTAATTTTGTCAGGTCATATCTCTTAGAATTTATACTTTTGTTGTGGTAGTCAATGTGGTTGTGTAATTTTAGCCATTGGATCAAAACTAATTTATTGATAAAGATGACATTCAATCGGAATAGAGGAAGTTTGTTTCTGAAGAATCATAAAGTTTCATTATACATGTACAGGCGCTATTTTGTGCCATTGTCCTCATATCTGCATCAAGAAAATTAAATTTTGCTCTCCCTTTTGTATCCCTGCATCAAACACACCGGTAGACTTTACTGAGTGAGCGAGATGCACAGAAAGTGCAGGTTAATTTTACCTGGCATGGCTTGATATTACTCTGAAACAAGATTAATGAATGTCCCAGATGCGAGTTAATACCTAGGTCTAGTCTCCAAGTTTGATTAATGGACCATTTGCTGTCGCCATTTTGCTTGATAAATGCTCACCAAATAGGGACTAATTAAGGCACGTGTGTTTGATCAGGCCAGGAGAGTATGTGTGGAAAAATTGACATTTCGTAATTACAGGCGCGTGTTAATGTCATCATCAACTAACGAGGGAGCCGTATACCGACCAGTTTGCAAGGCATGCATGACCTGGAGTGTACTTGGTCGCATCGGATCGCAATGTCTGCAAGCCATGATGAATGCAGGGTTTGATTTGGACTGAAAAGCAATTACTTTTGTCCCATCTTGTCTCTAAGTAACCCCTGAAGTTTGCCCATTTGGGTTACTCAATTGTGCATGGCTGGCCCATGGTTTGTGGAAAGTAAGTCAATTCGTCAGGCATCTGGAAAAGTCACACTGATCATTTGTTATCATTCAGACAAATTCTTGCAATTGAACGGGCCAATCATTCCTAATCAGACCTTAAAAGAAGAGAGAAGTGGGGTATGTGAGAGGTAGTGACAAACAAATAAAGAGAAATATCCACAAGCTCTTCTCTGGGAGTGAACAGTAGCTTCAACTCAAGAACTTGCGCTTAGAATTGACAAAATGTTGCTGTTAAAAAGGGATAAAATCATCTGTTTGGTGCCAAGGAGGCAGTAACTTATATATTCATATGCAGAATCAATGCCCTTCTGGCTCTAAATAAATGAAATATAGCCTTTTCTTGAGATTTAATTTTCACCCATTTTTTCTCAAACATGTGTTAATTGATGTTTAATATGGTTATCATTATTTCTTTTTGCAAAGACGATAGTAAGGAAAACTTAAAGTATGGGCTAATTCAGTCAGTGAAATATTATGGGGAAGGAAGGAGATAGTAATGATAATTTTTAATTTATTTTGCTCAATTTCTATATACGGTAGATATACTCCAATTTAGTTTAAAACATGATGAGACTCACTATACAGAAGATAAAGACAATCGTTCCATAAGGACATATATAAGAAAGCTCTTACAGATACAAAGTTGTGTTTGTCCAAAGTTTGCTTGTGATATCGATTGCGATGAAGGTAATAATTAGTATATTTCACTCCTTGTCAATTTTTGAAGTCATATTGACCACCAGGTCAAAGGATTATATGTTTGTATCTTACGATATCCAAGCAACCCTGCGCACCCTGGCGCGTACCCATTGTTTGCATTGACAGCCACGTCTGACATGGAAGGCTGGACGGCTCGAGAAACAAAAAGGCATGAGATGACTATCATCCTTGATTTCATATAACAAAGTGAAATTATGGTTATGAAGACTGTCTAATATAAATTATATTGACTGGTAGGAGTTGTTATATACATTTTTGGGACCGCAAAGGACTTATTTTCCCTCATGGTCATATTTTCCCTCCACGCCTCGCCCTTAGTGAAAATATTCTCCCTTGGGAAAATACAAACTTTCTTTGGCATCCAAACATTGGTATTTACACAAAGTACCAGTCAATCTATACAACTTTCAAATGCAATAATGTAAAGAGAAGAATATATGATATCAGAGTATAAGGCTATATGCTTAATGTAAATTCTGTTGAAGAATTTTGTGTCCCGTGTCTTATAAATTTGATATTAATTTTTGTTTTCTTTCTGTTTATTCAACAGGCTGGATTTTTCACCTTATCGGTTATCTGCCTCTTTGTGAACACCATAGCCAGTGCCTTCTGTGGCATTCAGGGGAATGTCATACAAACCATGCTCCATTCAGACTCTGCCTGCAAGATCATAGACAATGGTTGCCAGTGCACCAGGTCTTCTGACGATGGCTTTGGACGTATCTACATGTACCTAGATGTCTTAGACTGTTCTAGCTTCCTCCTCAACCTCCAGACGTATCTCTATATACAATGCGCCCTCAATGCAATAGGCGGAGCTGCTTCTTTCATGGTGGTCATTCTCCTGTGGCGAAGCCGCTACATGGACTTCCACTCCGGCTTACGCTTCTACTCCTACAGCGCCGCCATCCCCAACCACCCCTGGTCCGACCCCAGCACGCCCCCTTACATGTCGCACGTCAACGCCAACGGGAACGTCAATCATCAGACGGTGGACTGCACTTTCACCTTTGAGCAGCAGAGGTGACATAGGGCTGAGGTAGATAGTTTGCCATTCCAATGTGTCTTCAGTAACCGTACTAAGGTCAAAAATGGGGAATTCCCTAAAGCTCTGTCAAACTACTTCATCAAACGCACACAAGACTTGGTCCTTGTTTACAATTTGCATACAAGGTTACATTCTTTCAGTGCAATGTATCCATTCTACCAGACCAAGTGCTATTGAAAAAATTGACATGGTCAGTATTTTCAATGTACTATTTTCTGGGGGATGGGATGGGACTAAATCCTGGCTTGTAAGAGTGAATTTATATATTTTAAATATCATTTCAGGGAAAGGTTTAAAGTATGTTTCTCAAATGAAAAAAACCTTAGATATTCCAAATACATTAGTTTCTTTTTTTGTTTCATAAGTATTCATTTCAATTCCATTGTTACTGTAAGTAATGAGACTATTTTATAATTACTGAACTAGCTAAAGCACTTGATGGGTCGTTTACTAGACAACTAGAAATACTTTTTTTATATACAGTAGTAATTTTTCAAGTATAGAGTGTTGCTTGATTTTGATATAATTGTATTTTATGCAAATTATGTCTTATTCACATATGAAGACAAATCTATAAAGTTAGATAGTAACCTGCTTTCGGGGAGTTTGTATTTATTGGCTGGCTATTATGGTGAGAATAGTGTATGGATATTAACTTATTTATTTGCCGAAATTTCATTGAGAAATGAATGAGCAAGCAAATCATACTTGAAAGTAAAATCATGTTTATAGTTATATGCAATAATTTATTGTTTTTAAAAAAGTTTTTAACTTTTTCAATGTTTTAGACTGTCTAGTATATTTTGTCACTCTTCTTTGTCTTATTAAATCATGTTTCAACTCTACAAGCAAACCTTCTATCTCTTCAAATAGAAATAAAGCATGAAATGCTATCAGATTTCTCAATAATTTGTTATGGTAAAAACTAAGAAAATAATGCTAAAAATTGTATTAATGGAAGATTGAAAATGTTGTAAGAACAAATAATCACTTTTTCATTCCGTCTTTTCATACAAATGGTAAAGAAATACATTAAAAACTCTATATTCTTCATTTAGATAATCTTAATTCGTTTCCATGTTAGTGTACTTTAATAACCATGAAATGAAAAGAAAATGAAAATAATGAATAATAAAATACTCATGTTGATTGATTGCTTAAAATGTTTTTTTGAGTTTTGGGTAATTTTAGTAAAAGGAACGTTTAATATTATGACTCTATGCGGAGCCCCTAAAAATAAATTGAAAGAAAGTTGTATGATTTTATGCATCTTTCCCCCATCATCTCATCAGATGATATATATTTCTAATTGTCTGTCCAAGGGCATTGATGCAAAGACCTGAACAAAGAATTAATGCCCTTCTGGCTCTCAACAGATTGTATTGTCCAATCATCCAATTGTCTGTTTATGCTATCTGATTGCTTTTTGTCTATTGTGTGCTCATGTCTCTATTCTTCCATCAATATTTGTTTTGTCTGTCGGGCATTATAATGTCAAGCTTCTTATTTGCTTATACTCTTTTATTTCATACCTCATTTTGAAAGGCTGAACAAACATACATATTTGAGATATAAAGGTAGTCAATTAGCTATTATGACTTTTGTCTTTTAAGACAAAAATGCACTGCTGACTGATGTTTGAACAAATGGGTCATTATTTGAACAAATTTAAAATATCAGGGTTAATTGACTTGTCATGAAAAGGGGATTCAATCTTCATTCGAGTGGTCCCAACTGGAGGCTAAATATTCAAAGAAATGCATGAGTGAAAGTGTTCAGGTAAACCGAGCAGAGAATTAGGAAGTTATTAATCTGTAAAATCACTACATTGAAATTGAGATCCTCTCATTTGCATTTCATTTATGATGTTTGCTATCACAATGAGACAACTTGTCTATTTGTTCTATACTAAGACTGAAACAACTTTTTTGCTGAATTTCTGTTGTGGAACTTGCATTTTCATGGACGGACATGTTAAAACATGTAGCTTATTTTGAAGAACATGTGTGTTCCAGCATAAGAAAGAGTTGAGAAGAGGGAATCTCAATTAAATCGTTGAACAACAAATGGAGAGGTAGTCCCACAATGACATCACACATCTTAACAGAAATGGCTGAAGAAGGAATTCCATATAAATGATGATTTTTAACTTTCTCATTCTTTGTTCTAAGTATGCTTAATTTATCGTTTCTCAGATTTTCCTGCTTCCAGTCAAACCAACTTTGTATGAAGGTTTAATTCCCCTGCCATGTTATTTCTTCCTTTCTTTGTTTTGAATCTATATATGAATTATCCAGAATTATTTCTGAAGTAGAACTTCTGTGTTTACAATGTTTCCTGTTTGTATCTTGTCTTTTTCTCAATGCTTCAGTATTGTGTTTTAAAAGCGAACCTTTGGGATAACTGGTCAGTACAGTATTGCATAACACCAAGTGTTTTATTGATGATGGGTGTGATTTAAACTGTGTACAGTTTGCAGCTTATGATATATGCCTTATGTTAAGGGATTTATATATTCTTATGATTATATTATTGCTTTGAGATGTGGTGATACGATGTAGTTTACATACTAACATTCCAATATTTACATAGCATAAACTAATTATTGATTTGTTATTTTAGCTCAATATTATAAAGTTGCTTTTTAATACTTCACTATGTTATCAACTTTCAGGGATTGTTTTAGAGTTTTTTCTGTATTAGTGGACTAATATTAAAGTCTGATGGTTTCAAATCCCCTTTAATATATACAAAATGAAAGTAGCATGTAGTATGTTTAAAAGAATATGACTAGCAGTATTTATTGTAATTCTGGCCCAAGGAAGGAAAATTTGTTTGTTTTTTGGTCAAACTTTGATAATTAATGCCTGCCATAACCTTGTGGACTGCATTTTATAGATACGTGTATCTGTAATGAATATTGATTTGTATAGAACAAGCAAATTCAGGCATAAAAGTTCTGCATTAGCTCTTCAAAATAAAATGTATTGCATTGTAAATTTCATAGCAGAAGAAAGTCGTGTAATAGATACCTTTCATTGCTAAAAACAAATAGTTAGGTTGATTGATTTAAAGTAGTTATTTCAATTGTTATGAAAATCAGTTCATTTTGACGGATTCTTTTTAAATACTACAATTGTTTTGATTCTTGCATATTGACAATCATTTCAAAGAGAGTATGTGATGATACTACTGTTAATAATCAATAAGAAATCTTTGCAACTTCTTTGAAACATTTCAGTTATCTTTATGGTAACTGGAATCTGCCTGTACTATTACAACATTGACAGGAATGTCATGTTTCATTTTTAGGAGATATTTTGGTGTCAATTTTGGATGAACAGAATATCACTCAGCTAATTTTTTTTAATGGTTGGAAAGTGACCCTATATCAGCAGTATTGTTTTTTGCTTTCTCCCCCTAAGAAATCAAGAGGTTTATTTTATCAATCTTTGTCTAATTGGTCGCCTGGTAAAGAGTTTGTTTTGATACTCTGGAGCAAGCACAGTGTCAAGCTAAGAGGGACTTGGAGGCAAATATTTTTAGAAAAGAAACAACTCTGCCTGTAAAACCTGACACCATCTTTAATTGGTTAGTCCATTTAGCACTTGCTCGTTCTGTCAGTCATTCTGCAGTGTATTGAAGATGAATACTGCATGCTGCTTTGAGAGAGGACACCTACTGGACTCGCGACATCAATGATGGGGTTAAGAGAATCACCTTTCCATTTCTTCTAGGCAAGTGCCAAAAATGATTAATAAAATTATGAGGGGATTGTCAACTCAAAATGCACGTTCTAGAAATGTTATATGAAAGAGAGAATGTGTGTGTGTGCGTGTATACAAAGGAGAGAGAGAGAGAGAGAGAAAGAGAGAGAGGGGGGGTTGGGTTTAAAAAAATTGATAAGAATTTTAAAAACCTGTTGACAATATCATTAAATATACTTTTCAACATCTTGCAGTGAAAATGAAATGATGATAATGTGCACATTTTGTTTAAACCAATTAAAGAAAACATATGAGACATTTTCATGCATATTGATCATGATATAGCATGTACAACAATCAATTTGTATGGCTATCTGGCACAGTGCATGTAAAATAAAAAGGCCATAACAAGATATCTCTGTTATTTTTTTGTTGGGGGTGGTATCTTGCCATATATCCTTTAGAATTTATTGTGCATTTAGCTCCCAAAGGTTATAAATAGTACCTTAAAAGAATGAGAACGTACTATTGTCCTGTTATTGCGCCTCAGGGCCCTGCCTTATTAAGAGTTCTTGCAACTTGAAATTAATTGCAACTCCTATTTATAAAGAACACAGCAGCGATTTATTTCAAGTTGCAAGTGATTCGCATCAATTGGAATTCTTTATGATACAGGGCCCAAAATGGGTTTAGCATGCACCCCTCATGTATATTTAACATTAAGGATTAACACATTGACGGGTATACATCCATTCTTAGGTAAGTTATTGATCAAACGGAATATACTATTCTATTTTAATGGGGGTAACAAGGTATATGGCGGTGATGATGATTATAGCTATGATGATCAAGATTGTTTTATGTAGTTTCTTTTTACAGATCAGTGATTATATATTTACTACATATTGTACAGCTTTGTTGGTATTATTCTAACAAAGGTCTTTTGAAATGGATTGTATTGGTATTAATACTGGGAGAAAAATAAAAATTACTAAATCTTATTTCTGGTGTCGTGTGTTATTCTTTCCAATAAGTTTGTTGTATTTATGTAAGCACACAAGTCATTTGCTCACATGCCTCACAAACAACAACAACAGCAACAACAGAAAACTATCATGCTTGCTCAGTTGAAGATAAAGACATATCTTAATTTTTATTTCGTATATTCCAGCCTTATTTTGAATCATCTTTTTTTAATGACAATGGCCATTTAAGAAACCATAAAACCATTAAAATGAAACCTTTGACAATCTTTTTTCTCTCTTTACAGTATCTTTTTACAAAGAAACCTTTACATGTTAGTGAGGAGATCGAAAGTGCTGAATGAAAATAAATTACAATAAATGCCACAAGAATAATTATTCTTGAAATAGAAGATGAGAGAATAATCGGGAAAGGGAAGAACTATAAATATTTTTAAAAAGCTTTGTACATAATAGGAAACAGATTGAATTCAGTTTTTAATTGACATATTTCCATAAAGAGAATAATTTCTTACACGAAATTTTAAATTTGTAAAGAACAAAATTAAGTTTAGGATCGCTTTAAATTGCTGACAAAATGATTCTCTGTTTAGGTAAAAATTGACTTGCCTCTCGTCAAGACAAGAATAATATTTGTTGTTCACTGTAAACATTTTTCTAATAATTTGAGTCACCTGAATGTAAATTACGGATGACCGATGATCGAACGGAAAGTGGGGAAGAAGAATAACAAGAGGAGAATGTATAAGAATGACGAAGAATTAATTTTCTAGATTCCTGAGTTTGTTTTATAGCGCGAATTAATGAAATGACTTTAATATTATATTAAAGGAGTGTCGTTATATCTATACAAACAAAAATCGACTTAATGTAATTCAGAAGCCTTGTCCATCACCATTTAAAATATGCGAACATTACAATAACATATTACGTATTCCGAATATTCCTGAGTTGATGTTTCGAAAGTAATTACGATCATGTTTAACATTATTTCTACTTGCAAAATGTTAAAGGGCAATCCATTATTTTTTATAATTTCACTTGTATGAAAGAGGAATAGAATGGGGAAAATTTGAAATAAATCGGACCAATATTTTTTTTTTAAAGTTATGAGTGTTTGAAATACAAGATCACTGAATCTATATGAATCGCAAATCTGAAATTTGGTCACTTGTTTATGACGTATTCACGGACAACTTTCCGGTTTGTCGTGTACAAAAATATCATAAAATTATGTTTTTCTCCCAAGCGCCTTCTCCCTTGGGGCACATTTCAAAATATGTTGTGGGTAGCATATATTATTAAAGGTTCTCTAAAAAGGAAAGTCCCTCCTGAATCACACATTTTGTAAAATTGACATTTTTGTCATTCTGTGTGTTGGAACAAATGGGAAAGTCACCACTGCCGATACAGCCAATTATAAGTGCCAATACGTATAGTGATTACAAATTTTTAAAATTCATAACTTTTTATTCTTTAGTTCCAACTTTCACCAATCTGCTTCTCTGATATTTTTGCTTTCTTTGAGAGTAATTTACTATTAAGGTTGGAATTCCCTTTAAATCTAATTGCACTCAGACAACTAAAGGAGAGACAAGCTATTTGCAAACTTGTTTCCGTCAGAAAAGTTGTCCGCACCATCCCACACATAACTTTCAACATTTCCAGGGGAAGAGTAACGCCTTATTGTGATGTCAAGGATCAAACTCTTTTAATTTGGAGGTCCATATGTATCTTCTATTCTTCTCGACAGAAACAGACCAAGATTAACGAAAATGACCAAACACGACACTGGTGTTTAAAGCGTGACAAAAAACGAATCCTCTTTGTCATGCGTGTCCACGCGATTAAATTGTTCGGAATTCGTCTCAAAATCAAACATAATGAAAGGCTTTACGGCCTGCATTTCCTCTAACTCGTCCACTGTCTGTTTTCATGATGATGATGTGCTGGCCGTGTGACCACGCAATCCCTAGCTATTCCAAATGTCACACTTCCTCTGACATTTGGAAGCCACCCACAAATTCCAGATTTCGACGGAGATTTTACTTCTTTCTTTCAAAAAAATTAGGGAGGGGACGAAGGACGATTTTCGACGGGCGTCTAGTGGTATTAAATGCCAAAAGCCCTTTTCTCTTGAGAGCTCGTAACATGTTCCCGCTCTTTTTTTTTTAAAGATTTCTTGTTACACTCCTCTTCTCCTCTATTTTCCTCTCTTCTCTTCTCCAATCTCTCCATCTCCGCTTCCTCTTCTCTCTTCATCCCTCTCTCTCTCTCTCTCTCTCTCTTTATCTCTCTCTTTCTCTCTCTCTCTCTCTCTCCCTCTCTTCATCTCCTCTTCTTCTCTCTCTTCCTCCTCTCTCTCTCTCTCTCTCTCTCTCTCTCTCTCTCTCGTTCCCTTCCTTTCCGCTCTCTTTCTTAATCCGCGCCCCCATTTTGAAGACAGGATCATCTTGTACACACACGCCCACTCGCAGGGGATCACTTCTTCTTATCCATCTTGTCCGTGATAGATTTTTTTTGTTCAGACTTGTCGCCAGCATGATTAAGGTTTGTAATTGTGGTAATCAAGCAGCGAATTAACATTTCTCTGCTGTGTCGGGAAAAGGTCTTTAACTTCGTCTCCAGACAGTGGTGGTGTGTCCCTCCCACACGTGATTGAAGCAGAATAAGAAGAGGAAGAATAGAAGATAGAAGAAGAAGAAGAAAATAAAAAGAAGAAGAATTGGCTCATTGTATCCTTCAAATTGCTTGAACAAGGATTTTGGATCTTTTTTTCTTCTTCAGTAGCATGTTTCAAGGTACCCCCCTACCTCCCCACTCGCTCCTTGCTGTACTCGATAACCTTTGTACATTCAGCCCACCCCCCCCCCTCCCCCTCCCCCCTCCCCCCTCCCCCCTCCCCCCCCCCCCCCCCCCCCCCTGGTTGTCAATTTCTGGATACGTCACCGTTAACGTATCATAATCTCCACAGTCTCCAAGTCAACGATGGAACGCTTATGTAATAGAAAGTAAAGACACAAATTCCAATCCATCGAATTGGGGGATAATGAAAATCGTTTTCATTATTTCAACTTAATGCGTCTACACGATTACAAAAAAAATCCACTCAAGTAGGGCAATTTTAATACGCTATCGTATATCCCGTAGAATTCACGTTCGGATTACACAATATCTAATAGTATTGTTGGCTCATTTAAAAATGACAAGGCTATTAAAATCGCTTTAAGTTAAGTTTAAAAAGTGTTTTTCGATCGTATTAGTTACATATTCCCAAATGATAATAGGAAGTATTCGTTATAGATTTTGTGAAAGCTTAGCAATATAGTTGCCTACCGGAGATGGCGCCAATCCCAATGAGGAATCAGATAGATCGAAAATTGTGGCAATCTTCCAATATCCATGCAGGAAATACGTGCAATATCCCCAAACGAGCAGATACACTTACTTTACTTCCTTTACTTTAATCCAGCGATGCTATATGACTATGCCTGTTCATCAATCGTATATGGTTTCTTCAATGGTTAAACATTATCCTTGTCATTTCAAATTAAACAATTAAATAATTGGGAAAGGACAAAAAAGGGTGCAAACTTGCAATATCAATTACCAGCTTATACAGCTTATATAGGCTCATAGACAAGATCCTGGTTTTTAGACCAGTAATTTTCTAGCATATTCTTAAAACAGTTTACAGATTGAAGTTGCCGAGAGAACATATTCAGGAAGACTGTTCGACAAATCCACAACTCTGTTGCTATTTAAAAAAATACTTCCTCATATCATGTCGAGAGTACTGCTTGTCTAGTTTCATTTTGTGACCTTTTGACCCCCTCTGTGCCAGATCAAAAAATAACGCTGTGTATCATATACTCCGGTTAAATACTTAAAATCATAAATCATATCACCTCTCCTTCCCCTATGCAAGAGCAAGAGTTGGAAATTAGAGTTTAGTGAGACGTTCCCGATAGGACATATTTCTAAATCCTGCAATCATTTTTGTTGCCCGCCTGTACACACTTTGCAACTTTCTCTGGCTTGTATTGCGACCAGCATGCCTGACCATATTTTAAAATGGGTAAAACAGCATTGTATCTGCATCAAGATTCACAAATGTCCTTCTAACAAATCCTAAAACTCTAATAGCTTTCAAAGCTGCTTGGGAAGCTTGATCTTTGAAAGACAATTTTGAGTTCACAAGAACCCCTACATCCTTCTCAGCGTCGACCTTAGGCCCTTACGGTGCCAGTGCCAGCACCTGGGTCGATCGGTCGATTTTTTTTTTGTGTGATACATTTTTGGTTGCTTTTTCCCTCTTTGGGCTGTTTTTTTTTCTAGTTTTGGATGCTTTGATAGATATTTTTGTTTACTAAAAAACGGTTTAAAAAAAAGAAGTAATATATTAAAGCCGACCGTAGATTTTATGATTTTTGGGTAGATCGCAAAAGGCAATACAGCGACCTTCAAAAAAAAAAAGAACCTTATTAAGAGCTACTGTGCACGATTCTCTCTTCATCTAATATTCAGTTTGCATATTTGTATTTAGTTTCCCAAGCCTTAGAACAGTGCACTTCTCAGGATGGAAAACGAATCTCAAAACTTTGTATATTTTATTCTTATGTCAGAGTGATAGTTTTAGTTGCCATGGTTATTATACTTGTTTAATATGGGTGTGTAGTTTTTATTGTTAACGATGGAAGGATGAATAATTGATGTGGCTTACTCTTTCCGTCATTACAACAAAGTGGATCCTGGGGTTTTTAGCCGCCTTGGCCCACGCTCGACTCATTCTACAGTTTTTACAATTGTCTATATTTCACAATTGTGCCCTAAACTACTTTGTTTGAATATTATATTTGCGATTGGCCAATCTTTTCACATTTCAGCGTTATACTAATACATTTTGAGAAAAAAAAATTTAAGCCAAGGAAATGAGGAAATTGTATTGAAGCGTGCAAACATGACTGTGAAGAGCTACACGGGGGTGGGGGAGGGGGGTACTCACATATTAAGACATA